TAATTTTCCCCAAAGGGCTGTCTTGAAGAAAAACCCATTGTGAATATTGCAAACAAGGCGGCCAGGAAACTTACGGCACTTAGATGTATCTCGCCTCTGCTTGACAGCAGAAGCTGCAAGATTTTGTACGAGGCACAAGTACGATCACACCTTGAGTATGCTCCACTTTCTTGCATTACCTGCCTCCCCCCTCTCGTTTCATCTGCGACTTCTTGACAGAACAGAGAATAAAGCAGGACGACTCATCTCTCACCCAGACCCAGCCTGGACAGATCTGTCCTTTCAACAGAGCCTTCAACACAGGAGGGATATGGGTGGCCTTACTGTTATATACAAGGCAATATTGTTAAGGTAGAACACTTGTCTCCATTCCGAGGACAGCGAGAAGTTTCTGTACAAGAAGACGGGCAGCAAACAACAACCACACTCTGACTGTATCCTTCTACAGAACATTTCATCTGAGATTTCTAGGATGTTTAGAGTCTGGAACATGTTCGTACAACACAATGACATTAAGGAAATAAAGTCAGTTGACCAAATGAAATCGCTGACTCACGGATGGCTTTAACCCTTTATCGGGCAGGCCCTAAAGTTTTCGTGCTTAAACACGTGCAAGTTTGCGCGTGTCATCCTACACGCGCCGCGCATCTGGATTCCCGTTCTTTAATTCTAACCAATCACAAGACTTCCCTGAGTCGCTTCAGCTAAGTGGTGATGGCGTTTGCCGCCTTCCCATTGGTTGAGAGAACAAAACATGAACACTTGTGGCTTGGCGTCGCCCAGAGTGGGTTTTTTCCATCCAGTGTCACTAATATACTCTTGGATTTTACCCTCTACAATGTCGGTAAGTACTTATTGTTGTGTTTAGTGCATACATGAATAGTTTAGGCATATTTTGATATATACATAAAGTCCCTGTGAAGCATAATGTGAGTGTAGCATGCAGTTGAAAAAAGTGCAACAAAGGAAGCCCTCAAATTTTCATGGCTGCCCGAGAGGTGACGAAGTACAATTTCAGTAAAATAAATATTTATAAAAAAAATTCTATTGTATATATGAATTCTGTAGTGGTCTGGATCTATACAGAAGGTTTTTATTGTCCTTCCAGATCAATGAGAAGTTGTTTTATGGGGAGCCCTCCAGCACCAGGCCAAAATATGTCTGCATTTTCGACGACAGTGACTCAGAACCAGAAGTAGATGACCCAGAATTGCTGGATAGTGGTGATGAATACTTGCCACTGGATGCAGAGGTGTCAAGTGATGAGGAGGAAGAAAGGCCAGCCAAAAAGCAGAAATTAGTGAAGAAAAAGAAAGGTGTTACGATCGAGGAGTACCCTGATGAGGAAGATATTTATGAAGATATTGCTCTTCAAGGTCCATCTCAGTGGTCTCAGGTTGACCTCAAAAATGATCCTTTGCTGGCATATAAACATGAAAAGCCTCTTGTAATTAGGTCTCCATATGAGTATTTTTCTACTTTCTGTACTCCAGACATGGTAGATAACATAGCATATCAAACAAATTTGTACGCCAAGCAAAAAACATAAATAATAATTTTGCAACAGATTCTGAAGATCATGAGGTTCATAGGTATTTTATTGTTCATGGGTATTGCTCAATTACCATCACTTGAAGACTATTGGAAAAGTGCATTTAGGATCCCCCAGGTTGCAAAAAGCCATGGGGTCTAAGAGGTTTAGGTTACTTAGACGTGCTATTCATTTCAATGACAACACAGAAAAGGATAATGACAGATTCCACGGACTAGCAAGGACTACCATACTATGAATTAGGAACAAGAATAATTGGTCTTCCTCATGAATCTCAGGAATATGGGACTTAAAAGTTTTATCCCTTTGCAATGTGTCCTTGTTGCTATTTGTTTCATTTTTATATTTTTCTAATACATACAAACTGTTTTGATACAAGTTCCATTTATGTTTTTGATATTGTCTGTTTGTATAATAAATTTAAAAAATAGTTATTGGGTGTTTTATTAACAATTGCACAGTTTGCAACATTCAGATTTATACTCCCTTTGTCGGGCAAGGGCGTAAATTTTCGTGCTTCGGAGATTTGCAGTTGCTTGAAAACTAACCATCAGAATTCCATTTATATAGGCTCGTTGACTTTATATTGAGTTACTCTATCCACCATAGGGAGTTCAGTTCTAATTTCTAATTTTATGGCCACTTGCCCGATAAAGGGCAATGACATTAAGGAAATAAAGTCAGTTGACCAAATGAAATCGCTGACTCACGGATGGCTTTAACTTCACCCTGTTCCATATTTGTATATTTCATAGCAACAAAAAGGCTTTCAAATAAGCTTGTAAATAAAGTTAGGAACCCTTAACCTAATTTTGTAAAACCCTATGTAAAAGAGAGAGAAACACAGAGAGAGAGAGAGAGAGAGGAGAGAGAGAGAGGGAGAGGAGAGAGAGAGAGAGAGAGAGAGGAGAGAGAGAGAGGAGAGAGAGAGAGAGAGAGAGAAGAGAGTGAGAAGAGAGAGGAGCAGGTGGTATTGTGCCTTATACAAGACCAGAATAGAGAACAGAGCAAGACGTCTCATCTCTCGCCTGGACCCATCCTGGATAGATCTGTCATTTCAGCAGAGCCTTCAACACAGAAGGGATGTGGGCGGCCTTACTGTTATGTACAAGGCCAACATTGTTAAAGTACCACACTTGGCTCCACTTCGAGGACAGCGTGAAGCAAGCTTCTATGCCACAAGACGGGCAGAAAGCAGCAACTTCACTCTGGCTGTACCCTTCTCCAGAACATCACTTCATGTGAGATCATTTATACCCAGGATGACTCGAGTATGGAAGATATTCGTACAGCATAATGATGTCAACGAGATAAAGTCAGATGATCAGATGAAAATGCTGGCCCACAGATGGCTCCAACTTCATCCTGTTCCCTACTTGTATGTCTCATAACAATAAAAATGAGCTGATGTAGGTAACAGCTCTTAGCTTGTAAATAAAGTTAGGAATCCTTAACCTGTAAATAGCTTGTCAAGAATGTTAGGGATCCTTAACTTAACCTTGTCAAACACTGTGTAAAAAAAAAAAAAACTACCTGTCTTCCATTCTGCCTGTCTGCCAGCCTCTCTGCCTGCCAGAATCCCTGTCTGCCTGCTTACCTGTCTGTCTGCTTGCTTTCCTGTCTGCCTAGCTGCTTTCCAGTGATATCTGGAGACTGCCTCTCCAATATCTTGTTTGTAAGATACGGGAGAACAGCTGGGACTGGACCCTCAGGTCTCTGTCTCTGTCTCTCAGCTCACACTGGGGTTCCATCAGGGAGCTCCAGATCACTGTGCTGGAGCGTTCTGTGGGAACTGATTTCTAATCACAAGTTATAGGGGAGAGAGGGAAGGGGGGCAGGGAGGTAGGTCTGGGGGTATGGAGGTCTTTATAAACTCAGGTTGGGGGTGAGAGGGCTTAGCTAAGAGAAGAGTCTAGGGAGAGGTTTTGCCGAGTGCACAGCTAAAGACTCTGGTTAGGATAGCCCTCAGGGTGAGGTCTTGGGACCACTGGCTAGGTGGTGACTGGTCGTGGTCCAAGGGTGACGTTATGGGACCCCTGTCTTATGCATACGGTTAATATTCTGCTTCGTCAGCCCTAGCTCAGTATTCTTGTATTATCCCGCAGTATACTTGTATTATCCCTCACCATTCTTGTATTATTCCTCAGTATTCTTGCGTTATCCGTCAGTATTCTTGCATTATCCCTCAGTATTCTTGCATTATACCTCAGTATTCTTGCATTATCCCTCAGTATTCTTGAATTATCCCTCAGTATTCTTACATTATCCCTCAGTATTCTTACATTATCCCACAGTATTCTTACATTATACCTCAGTATTCTTGCATTATCCCTCAGTATTCTTGCATTATCCCTCAGTATTCTTACATTATCCCTCAGTATTCTTGCATTATCTTAGTATTCTTCATTATCCCTCAGTATTCTTATACCCCTCAGTATTCTTGCATTATCCCTCAGTATTCTTGCATTATCCCTCAGTTATTCTTGCTACCCCTCAGTTTTTCTTACATTATCCCAGTATTCTTCATTATCCCGGGTATTCTTCATTATCCTTAGTATTCTTGCATTATTATACTTAAACTCAGATTCTTGCATTATCATCAGTATTCTTCATTATCCCTCATATTCTTTACATTACCCCTCAGTTTCTTGCATTATCCTTAAATTTCTTCATTATCCCTCGTTTTCTTGCTTTTACCCCTCAGTATTCTTGCATTATCCTCAGTTATTCTTGATTATTCCTCAGTATTCTTGCATTATCCCTCAGTATTCTTACTTTAAACCTCAGTATTCTTCATTATCCCTCAGTATTCTTCATTACCCTCAGTATTCTTCATTATCTCGTATTCTTACATTATCCTCAGTATTCTTACATTTCCCTCAGTATTTTTTCATTATCCTAAATATTCTTGCATTATCCCTCAGTATTCTTCATTATCCCTCAGTATTTTTTGCATTTTTCCCTCGTATTCTTGAATTATCCCTCAGTATTTTCATTATTCCTCAGGTATTCTTACATTATCCCCAGTATTCTTCATTTTCCTTTAGTATTTCTTCATTATCCTCATTTTTTCTTGCATTATTCCCTCAGTATTCTTGCATTATCCCTCAGTATTCTTGCATTATTCCTCATTATCTTACATTATCCCTCGTATTCTTGCATTATCCTCAGTTTCTTACATTACCCCTCATTTTTCTTGCATTACCCCTCAGTATTCTTGCATTATACCCTCAGTATTCTTGATTATCCCTCATTTAATCTTGCATTATCCTCAGTTTTTACATTACCCTCAGTATTCTTGCTTACCCTCAGTTTCTTACTTTACCTCAGTTTCTTACATTATCCCTCTGTATTCTTACATTATCCTCAGTATTATTCCTCAGATTTGATTATTCTCATTTCTTGCTTTATCTCAGTATTTTGCATTATCCCTCAGTATTCTTGCATTATCCCTCAGTATTCTTACATTATCCCTCAGTATTCTTGCATTATCCCTCAGTATTCTTAATTATCCCTCAGTATTCTTCATTTCCCTCAGTATTCTTATTATCCCTCAGTATTCTTACATTATCCCTCAGTATTCTTGCATTATCCCTCAGTATTCTTGCATTATCCCTCAGTATTCTTACATTATCCCTCAGTATTCTTGCATTATCTACTCAGTATTCTTACATTATCCCTCAGTATTCTTAGCATTATCCCTCAGTATTCTTGCATTATCCCTCAGTATTCTTGCATTATCCCTCAGTATTCTTGCATTATCCCTCAGTATTCTTGCATTATTCCTCAGTATTCTTGCATTATCCCTCAGTATTCTTACATTATTCCTCAGTATTCTTACATTATCCCTCAGTATTCTTGCATTATCCCTCAGTATTCTTGCATTATTCGTCAGTATTCTTACATTATCCGTCAGTATTCTTACATTATCCCTCAGTATTCTTACATTATCCCTCAGTATTCTTGCATTATCCTCAGTATTCTTACATTATCCCTCAGTATTCTTGCATTATCCCTCAGTATTCTTGCATTATCCCTCAGTATTCTTGCATTATCCCTCAGTATTCTTGCATTATCCCTCAGTATTCTTACATTATCCCTCAGTATTCTTGCATTATCCCTCAGTATTCTTACATTATCCCTCAGTATTCTTGCATTATCCGTCAATATTCTTGCATTATCCCTCAGTATTCTTGCATTATCCCTCAGTATTCTTGCATTATCCCTCAGTATTCTTACATTATCCCTCAGTATTCTTGCATTATCCCTCAGTATTCTTGCATTATCCCTCAGTGTTGTTACATTATCCCTCAGTATTCTTGCATCTTCCCTCAGTATTCTTACATTATCCCTCAGTGTTCTTACATTATCCCTCAGTATTCTTGCATTATCCCTCAGTATTCTTGCATTATCCCTCAGTGTTGTTACATTATCCCTCAGTATTCTTGCATCATCCCTCAGTATTCTTACATTATCCCTCAGTGTTCTTACATTATCCCTCAGTATTCTTGCATCATCCCTCAGTATTCTCTACAATTATTCCCTCAGTATTCTTACATTATCCCTCAGTATTCTTGCATCATCCCTCAGTATTCTTACATTATCCCTCAGTATTCTTACATTATACCTCAGTATTCTTACATTATCCCTCAGTATTCTTGCATTATCCCTCAGTATTCTTACATTATCCCTCAGTATTCTTTCATTATCCCTCAGTATTCTTGCATTATCCCTCAGTATTCTTGCATTATCCCTCTGTGTTGTTACATTATCCCTCAGTATTCTGGCATCATCCCTCAGTATTGTTACATTATCCCTCAGTGTTCTTACATTATCCCTCAGTATTCTTGCATTATCCCTCAGTATTATTACATTATCCCTCAGTATTCTTACATTATCCCTCAGTATTCTTGCATCATCCCTCAGTATTCTTACATTATCCCTCAGTATTCTTACATTATACCTCAGTATTCTTGCATCATCCCTCAGTATTCTTA